ATTTGTGGATGAGCAGATTCAACAAAATCCCAACCAAATCCTAACCAGATTCCTAAGACACACAACAAGCTGATTCTAAAATGTGTACAGAAATATAAAAGACCAAGAGTAGCCAAAATATTCTTGAACAAAAAAGGAGACAAGGATAAACAATATACGGAGACCCCTGCAGTTGGCGAGACAAGTTGACACTGCTATAAGACAGAGGAAAAGAAGAGAGGAAACAGAAATACATGCATGCACACTTGATTGGACAAAAATCAGAATAACAAACCTGAGGGCGAAGAAATGCCTCGAGTAAATAGCATCTGATCTATTGGACATCCACGTGGGGACGATTCTAAAACTTAACATGTGCATAATGACTCAGCAATTCCACTCGGGAAACAGACCCAATCAAAGCATATGCACGTGCGGTGAGAAACTTGAACCAAGTATGTCCCCAAAATCTACGTCAAAACTAGAAATCACCTAACATCTATCCACAATGGGAAGAGAACACATACTGTGGTGTGTGCATGTCATTGAATACAGCTTGGTAACAATAACGAACAAATTACTACTGCCTAGACAATGTGGCTGAATTTCAAAAACATGAGAAAAGCCACACACAAAAACATACTGCAGGATTACATTGCATAGGAATAGCCAAAGAAAGGGCGGGCAAAACTAAATTATAGTAATGACATAGACTTAGGGGGAAAAACAATAAAAGGCAGAATGAGCCTTTTACTTAGTGCATGAGCGTGTGTATGTGTGTGCATGTGTGTGTATGTGTTGGAAAAGCTTTTTTGTTGTTGTTGGTACCGGGGATCGAACTTGGGCCCTTGAACTTGTGAGGCAGGTGGAGGAACCACTGAACTAAATCCCCAGCCCTGGAAGAGTTTTTGACCAGACTGCTGAGGGGTGGATTGTTCCCTTCCTCCGTGAGCCCAGCCCCAGTTTCCTGGGCAGTTTCTCACCCTGATTCTCAAATGGGGAGACTGGTCTTCCAGAGCTCCCCAGGTGTAAGAAGCTGTCCCGGGCTCTTTGAAGTGCTCCCACTCTGGGCATGTTTCCAAGGGGTAGCAGAGCAAGAGTCACCTGTCCTTTTGTGACCTCACCTCCCCAAGCACTTGATCCCTGAGCTCTTCAATATGCATCGCTTCCCACTGGGGAAAGGCAAAGGGCACACGGGCCAGGAGCTTGGGTGAGACCAGCATGCGTACATCCTAAGGACAGTGTATGCTGGTGAGGAAAATCTCACAGACACCCTCACTCTTCAAGTCTTGGTCTGGGCTCGGTTACACATTTGTGTGGCTGACAATTTCTTCCAACAGGTCAATGGGAAGGGGCTGCAGCAGCCCAAGTGTTCTGGGAAGTGGTGTTCAGACCTCAAAGGGCAGACAGATAGCCAGGCAGCAGTAAGTTTCTCCCTGGGCTAGCAACTGCAGGGACCTGCTTCCAGCCCCAAGGAAGATCAGGGGCTCCTCTCACTCTCCGGCTGCCCTCAGTGCCCCTATTACAAAAGATGGCACGACAAAGGCAGCCCAGTGTGCATGCACAAGACCAGATAACCAGCACAAGTCACGGCTGCAAAGCAGCAGGAGCGGGCACCCACACTCCTTGTCGGTCCACGTCTCAGAAGCATTGTCAAGTAGTTTGTCCTTTACTTCTACCCTGCAAATCGAGGCTTATGGTCATGAAAAGAAAAAAAAAAGTTTAGATTTTTAAAATTATTATTCAGTTTATTAAAACTTGCATGTATGTTTATTATAGAGTGTGATCAATAGACATTTCCAGGAATAAAAACATCACAGTGGGATGAAATTCTGAGTAAAACTAGATCCCTAAAATGAACCTCAAGAAAAGATTTCTGACTTAGAGAAGAATACATTTATGGATTTTTGAATGACTGATGATGGGTATTGGAACCACTTTGGTATTTAGCTTCACAGACACATTAACAAGAGTGACTAACAGTTTTATTTCAGAGTGTCAATATTTACAGAGCATCAAAAATTATATTCTTTGCCGTTTTTTACATTTTATTTTTTTTTAAACTTAAACATTGAATTCCAAATGTACAACTGGTTTGACAACTTGTCAAAATTCTTTTTGAGAAAATAAGAGGCCAGGCTTTGAAGCCACCTGTTCCTCCTGCCTCCATGAACTGCCTGGTCAAGCTGAGTACTGACTGCATGCTCTAAGAGGGATTTAGCCCTTGTCTGGTAGAGAACTGAGGATTCCAAGAATCAGGAAAATCCTGACAATGTCCAAATGTGACAAGGGTTCAGTGACCAACATAAAACAAGCTCCCGGGAGAAAGTGTTCATGGCTGGGTCCCAGGAACCTCTTAAGTAGAGAGGTAGGTCAGGAGAAAGCAGGCTGCTAGGCAAGAAGGCAGCTCAGGCCAGGAAGAGCAGAAGGGCAGAAATGTGGATACAAAAAGGAGAGTCTTTCAGGAAAGGTAGAGCGGACAAGGGGTAGATCACCCAAGGAGTGTAAAAAGAACATAATGCTACCAACATGGCCTTGACCAGGGGCCTGAGTGTGCAGATCAGATGCCTCTGTAGGATTCTTATACCCCTTGGGAGAAACCTCAGGAGAAATCTGTGCCAGCTGGGCATGTGATTGGGACACAGGAGGCAAAAAGAGGCACAGAAAGGCCAGATCTGAGAGACCATTCCCTGGTCTGTCATGGAGTGGACATCTTGAGACACTTGGACATCTAATTATTCATCTTGCTATATCACCAACACTGGGAAGATGGAAGTGCCCAGTGCAAACTTGCTCTCATCTCAAGCATCATGCCTTCATTCAACATTAAGTGAGCATCTATAATACACAAGGTAATAAGACAGAGGGCCAATACCACATTCTCCTCTGGGAGCAAAGCTTACTGTAAATTCAGGCCAGTGTGCTCAAGAAGGATAATTAAGCATCCAGCTTGAGAAGCTTCACATCACCACACAGAATAGGGAAGATCAAAGACCACAGACCTTTCATGGGAAGTAGCCAGCAGGTAAAGGAAGAGATGGTACTCCTCCAGCCCAGGCCCTCTAGGAGCCCCTCATTGGCCCTTCCCCAGTTCACAGTGCATCATCTCTCTGCGGGAGCAGCAATGGTACTTGATCGAGAAGGGAAACGCCCACTTCGTAGTTCTCGGCTGCTACAACCAAAGCTGACTCAGCCCATATATTCAATTTTAATCAAAATTACAATGCACTTTTTTTCTAGGGTGAATAATACATCATTAGACTTTGGAACACATGCGACATGACTGTTCCCTAAATTATGGGATTAACTTTGTCTTTCCCAGTTAGCGTCCAAGATCTCCCGCTAAACCCGGGCCCAAAAGCACCTGGAAGTCCACCTGACAAAATTCAAAGCCTTCCTGTATGGTTGTATCAGGCCCAGGTTCCCCCAAGAGAGCATAGGCTGGGGAAAGGCCATCTCCACTCCTCAGCAAAGGTAGCAGCTTCTCAACCCTGAGGCCCATGGGCTCAGCTGAGCTCCGTAGCTGCAGCAGGGTCTGCCTACCACATCTCCCCTCCTGAGGCTGGGGCTCGGCCTGCTGCAGATCCCATGTGGTGCCCACAGAGACAGCAGGTCTGTTCGGCTGGCCCACACCACACACTGTGAGATGCCTTTTCTCCAACTCCAGTTTCCTGCATGCCTTCCCCATCCCCAAACTCTGGCTACTGCTCAGAGATATCAAACACTCCAAGGACGGGGGAAGGCTGTCCAATTTTTTATTCAATCAATTTGAATGGGGCTTAAATCAGGTTTTGTTTGAGTTTGTTTGTTTGTTTTGAGACAGGATCTCCCTATGTTGCCCAGGCTGGCCTTGAGCTACCTGGCTCAAGCAATTCTCCCAAATACCTGGGATTACAGACATGCATTACTGCACCCAGCTTAGGATCATGATTCAAACAAGATGAGGCTGCCTGGCTGGATGCAAGGACACTACCCAACACCCTCCTGTTCCTAGCTGAGGCCTCACTGCCTGGTCCTGAAGGCCCTTTTATACCTGACAGACAAGGCTAGGGGGTGCATCAACCTGCTCCAAGGGCGCAATGTTAGAAATTAATATCCCTGCCTACACTGCAGCCTCAGACTTTACAGACCTGCCACAGTTCTGTCACCTTCATGCAAGGGGCGTATATTAAGTGCCTGCTATGTGCCCAGCCTTGCTATAGGCTCTGGGGATAGGGCCAGCCACATGGCGGAGCTGGAGATCTGACCTACAGCTCTGCAGTCTAAGACGTGGGGGGAACCAGGCAGAATGATAAGACTACCATCCGTTCTATAGAAAGGAATTTCGGGACCCTTTTGAGGAGCTAGGAAAAAGGCAAGGTGGCCTGACCCAGCTGTGGAGGATGCATCCTGGCTCTGCTCCTCCACTGGCTTCAGCTAATGGCAAGATTCACCCCAGTGCTGAGGAAAGCCTGGCTCCCTGTCCCCTAGCTCGACCCTGGTGCAGCAGCGACCACCTGGACTGCGGCAGGCCCACCCCTGGAGACGGGGACGCGGAACCCAAGGTACTCTCTGAGTTGGGTCCAGCCCCTCCACCCCCTGTACTCAAGTGGACACAGTCCGCGGCGTCTGCTTGCTCCTCGAAGTGGCTCCGCCCCGAATGGTCACGGGCCGCTCAGGTGGCTCCGTCCCGGTGCACCCAGAAGGCCGACGTCACCGAGGACGCCGGCTTAAGCCCCCAGG